GGTTTACGCCTGTTAGTAGTAGCTGGGAATACTCAATTTACACTTAGGAGTGTAAATTAGGCTGCCACAATCACTTTTGATGCAATCTAAACATCTTATGGAGAAATGAAGGATAAGTAGCAAGCTCCTCCTTCCTTCTATCCCAAAAAATCTAATATTGAAACATAGACAAGTGGATTAACCATGTATTTAAGAAATGGTCCATCCAACTATTAACCATCCTGATAAGGAGCAAAATACTTGCCAGACTAGTTACACAGCACCAGTCTTAACTGTTGGTAAATTATATTCAGGGTCTTAACATTGAGAGATTCAACGCAAGTTTAATGTGGAGTGAAGTTCCTACTTCCAATATTCAATGAGGTAACACGGATTTCCTGATATCCATATTTTCCTTCCATCCCTTCTCCTTTTCCTTCTGATACTGTTCTTGTCTCTTTTATTGTCTAGAGAACAAAAGAAGGCAAGATTAACGCACGGATCAGAGAGGACTTCAATCAAGTGCGGCACTAGAAGCTACGTAATAAAGCTGAATCAGTTTACATCAGGTCTCTTTAAATCAAGGTTTACATCAGGTTTCTTTTAATGATAACTCTACGAACCAATTAGTGAACAGATTTACCAAGACTGTTGTTCAAGATGATGTTGTCATGCACCCTAAGGTGGTGCTTGAGCAAAAAGTTAGACAATTTGCTCATGCAATTCCTTCGCGGAGTTTTGCTTCCATTTTAAGGCTTTGAACTCCAGTTTACCCTCTCACCTACGAATATGTATCATACTGCCAAATCTCAGAGCCATTCTGCCTAAGCTTTCACATAATCTAAGTTGGATAAAATCCTTATTCCATGAGATGCTTGGTCAGTGGTATACTCCATTTAAAACGGTCAAAGACATCTTCTGTGGATCAAAGTTGAGTGACATAACTAAGAATCTTAAATATAATCCATATATGAGAGGTTATTCTACAATAACAAAAACCAAAAGCTAAGGGATCACACATCATTGATTGTCTTGTGTTGCTTTTCTTGTTTAAATGATCTCAACTGCGCTCCAATATGGATAAGAAACTTCAGTCCTTTTCCAACTATCCTTTGGCAGCAACATTCACCTTTTATTCTCCAGCGTACATGTAGGGCAACGTAGTCAAATTTGTAAACTCTATACTCACCTTAGTATAGAATCAAACATTGGGATAATATGCATGTTGAGTTTGTGCCATAAATAGGCTGATATTTCTCTTTCCACTTCCATATTTTACCTCTTGATGTTCTAATCTATTGAGACGATCTACTCCTTAGCACTAAAATATGTATCCAGTTAAAATACAAGAAATAGTTTATATGGCTTTTCAGGAGGAGAAATACTTATTAGATACCTAATTAAAGCACACCAAGTATACCTGTTTCTGATGCATATGCTGCTTCTTTAACATTGAAAAGATAGTTGAATGAGTCTGTTTTTTAAGTTGGTAATTTTGGAAAAGGAAAACACAGTTTAATTATATAAAGCAAAGTCACATATGCACAAAAATTGTGGAGGCATCTGATCAGCTGTGAACTCTACGGAACAATCTTGCCCATGTGAAGAAAATAGATTGAAACAAAAGGGCATGCCAATGAAGTTCTTCAGTTAATGTGAAGAAAATAGATCGAAACAAAAGGGCATGCCAATGAAGTTCTTCAATTAATGGGGTATAGCAGGAAACTAACTTCTGTACCTCAGATTTTTCACAATACTAAGTAAAGGATCCCTCGAAATTCTCAACTGCAAAGTCTGAGGATTAAACAAATGATAGAACCACACGCCATATTTCAGGCTGCTACCTTTACTGCACCAATCTCATCAATCTTTGAGCTCTTGTGCTGCAACATTTCAGCATGTGATAACAGCAGAATTAGTTATATGTGCTAGTGTAAGCCCAAATGCAGCTTGTTCAGAACAAAACACTTGAGACTTTCTGGATACTTGTTTGGTTAAGATCGTGTGAAAGTATTTTTTTTTTTTTTTAAAAAAACTACAAAAAGTTTGTGGTTTATTTTTGAAAATTTTAAAAAATTTGAATAAAATAATACTCCCCCCATTTCAGTTTATATGACACACTCTCCTTAGTCAATTCCAAAAAGAATGACACATTTCTATATTTGGATACAAATCAACTTTAAACTAATCATTTTTCCATTTTACCCTTAATGAAAAGCTTTTTAGCCACACACATTGCCCCACAACGTTTTGTATCCCTTAAGCTTTTAACACCACAGGTTTCAGAAGTCTTTTTTCCCCCTAAACTCTGTACCGAGTGAAACTACCTCATATAAATTGAAACGGAGGGAGTACACTAACTTACACTCTCACAATTCCAACCAAAACAAATGACTGTCCATACATTTTTCTCGCATAAATATTTTTTCAAAATATAGCTCCAAGGAAAACACTTCAATAAAGTTGTTCAAAAACCATATGAATTCAAAATCATTCAGTTCTACCTTGCTTCTCTTGTGTTTGTGAACGTCATTAAGATCCTCTCCATCATGCTTCCTTTTCTGAGATCAATTAAAATATCATAATCAGTCGCCGCTATAAATACAACCACTTTCAATTCTGTGGAGTACCACTGTTGCTTCTTGTTAAAGTCCTAAACTCGTGCAAATATTGGTGATTTTCAACTAGCAGCTCAAGTAGAAGGTAGATAAGCATCACCGAACAAGAACATAAATGGCAAGGGAAAAAAAACAAGTTTCGCAAATAAAAATTTACAAAGTCAACCTCTCATCTAATTCAGTACATTGACAAAACGATGAGGTTAACAAATTCAAAGTTCAGGTTACCCCGATAGGTTAGGAGAGAGAGGATAGCTTGAGTCATATCAAAGCTGCAGCAGCAGCAGCAAGAAAGAGTTTTATGCTGATGTGAAAGTGTCTTAATAAACTAAACAGTCTAAACATACAGCAAACTCAACTTCTTGCCTCATTAACAAAAAAAACGGGCAACAGTTCATTTCACAGGGTTCTGGTCTCATTTTTCAAGAAAGATAAACCTTTATGTCCTTGACTTTCTCCCTGCGATCCAATAAAGGCAATGACAACACAAAAGGATAACAAACTCAATAGCATCATATGATCCAGTGAAACTCAAGCAAGAGTAACTTTCAGCAAAGTTCAAATGTCACAAACGACAAAGTAAAATTTTATCATCTTTAGACAATTCTATTAAGAAAAGACAAATATTTAGCAAATTAATTTGAAAGAGCTATTCTTTAAACCATTCATCTAAACTATTTCATATTAAAAAAAAGCATATGACATGTATAGTAAGAATCAACACATTGCACCAAATATCTCAAGGTTGACAAGAGGGGGTTGCTCAGATGGTCAGCACCCCCACCTACAACCCCAGGGTCGTGGGTTTCGAGTCACCAAAGGAGAAATAGCTCCAACAAAGGGGGATCAAAAGGGAAGGGAAAAAAGAATATCTCAGGGTTTTGCCAGTAGCAGACCTTCTCACGATGTTTCTTCGAATGATCAGCACCAGAATCATGATGACCATTTTTATCTCTCTTTTTCTCTTTATCCTTGTCTTTGCTTCGATCTTTATGCCGATGTTTGTTTTTCTTATGCTCTTTGTCCTTCTCCTTGTCCTTATCTTTGTGCTTTTTACGCTTCTTATCCTTGTCTTTCGACTCACTTATAGATTTTCCAGCTACAGTTGGGATGCCTTTCTCAGACTATAAAAAAAGAAAAAAAGAAGTTAAAACATTACTTAAAAGACGCTGACACAGATGAACTACTGTCGCTCAAGCTTCACTCAGTAAATTTCTTACAGGAGGCAGAACAACTGGAGCCGCTTCACGTAGTTGAAAAGCTTCTCCAAGAACATCTAGGTCAAATGGCTGGATGCGGGAACTCGTCTCTCTTGACAAGGAAGTGTCCTGTATAAGCTGATCCAACTGCATCCCTTCCCCTTTCCTAATTTCTGTGTCTCCCACCACATTGTGAAGATAGTGGGTATCTGAAATAGACAACGGAAGTGACCTCTTGCAGAAGAACTCGTGATGAGGCAACAATTTGAAATGACTGATAAGATCCACAGCACCTGTAAGTTCTCTGGCCCCTGGTGGTGCAATTTGACCATATCAAAAACAGTTATAAACTAATTCTTAATTAAAAACAATAGGCATTCTAAAGAGAACAATATTAGAACCTGCATTTTAATTCATCATCAGAATATCAATAGATAAATCTAAGCCCCTTGAGAAACCTGATACTCTTTAGCAGTCCAGTATCTTTCCATCACCTCACATGTGACTAAAATATCAACTATGTTTGCTAAGATTTAATCAACTTTGGCTTATAATAGTCACAATGATCCCGAACTCAAAGAATATTAATCTGAGAGCTAACACCATCCAGATGATGAAGGAAAATGCTTGAGAATACATTGTTTTGTGATATAAACTTCTACAAAATCTTATTCTATGATAAACAATTATGCCACATGTAAAGCCCCAAAGATAACATTAGAATTACTACTCCTTTATCTTTCTCCCAAAATGAACAAAGATAGATGCCTCCTTGTGCTGAAGAAGAACCACAGAAAAATGAGAAAGCAGTAAAAGATCATTTCTACATCCGGAAAGAGATAACTGGCCCACACAACGAGGATTGCAAAAGCAAATAAATCAGCCAGCTGCAGATTTGAGCAAGATACTGATGAAATCAAGCATTTTACTGTAAATCAGAACCTAGCTATGTAAATAAAGACCCTCACAATATCAAATGTCTGCAGTAGTCAATGCAGGGCAACATGCAAAAAGACTGTACGTTACAATTCTGTTTCAACGGGAACAAAATGCTGCAAGGGTCTTACCTCTTCCAAAACTCTTGCAATCAGGATCCATCAATTAGCAACAAGTGCGTAGGTACAGCATTATCTCCTGGAAAGTGTTGATAGGTTAGAAAAGTCCAGAACTATCTTTTCTGGGAACATCAAGAGTACAGCACTGGAATTAAAACAAACAACAACAACTACAACAACCCAGTAAAATCCCACAAGTGGGGTCTGGGGAGGGTAGTATGTACGCAGACCTTACCCCTACCCCGAAGGCATAGAGAGGCTGTTTCCGAAAGACCCTCGGCTCAAGATAATAAGAAAAACAAAAGGAGAGAGTATTAGTTTCACCGTAGAGATCATAGGAAAATTAGGAACATAAATTGCAGAAAAAAATACAAGGCAGAAACGATGGCTAGTAAATAGATCTTGCACCGAAAAGAGAAAGTATTAAGACATGGCAATGCCCCTAGTTATTTAGACTAAAACCTTACCAGACTAGGCTCACAACGGTATAAAGTAACGCGAGACTCAACTACCTCCTAGCCTACAACCGTAATACTCGACCTCCACAAAATGGATTGAATAAGCAGAAACTAAAAGATATAACAGTAATGTTGGGACCACCATACAGAACCAGGAGGTATTAAAAGGGTTCATCAACCTTTTTGGTATCTTGTCCAAAGAAAAGCTACCTGATGCTCTCATTTTGCATAAGCTCTACTGGTCTAACATAACCAAAATATGAAGCGTGGGGAAAATGAACGCGACAAAACAAAGCTAAAACCAGAACAAAATTACAACCTTCTTTGGTGAAGCTAAATAGAGAGTTCAGAATGTGGGTTCACACAGAACTATTCTTTCAGTTTCTAACGCTCCACCTCCAGGGGGGTTGGGAAGTCTTACAGGGGACATCCACCGATACTTCGACAAAAAAAGTGGAATAAAATAAAAGGGAAAATACATAAGTACCCCCGGTCCTATACCCGGATTCCCAACTACACACTTTACCTTTGCGGGGTTTTTATTACCCACTCTAAACTATTAAAAAGTTTAATAAACACACCCTTAAAATTGGACAACCAGATTCCTGATGGAGAGTGTTGTGCACGCACTGCCAGCTAATAATTCTTTTTCTTTTTTCTTTTTTTTTCTTATTCTGTTTTTCTTATTATATTCTAGTTTCATATACATGGTCGCCGGCGAATGTATAATTATTTTCCAACTGTGAATTCGTAAACGGAAATCGTAGTCCGAGCCAAAGCAGCACCGTTGAGGTGTCGTTGCCGGTAATGGTGAAAAACTCGCTGCCGGCAGTGGTGTTAGACTCATCATCGTTGGATCTCAGCCTTGGTGGATTTGGTAATTTATTTAGCAATGGTATGGGTAGATTTTGTTCTTGAATAATCTGTTTTACGGTTCTCCGGTCGCCGGAGGAATCGACGGAGGTGTGACGCCGGTGAATCGTATGTACTATTTGGAAGCTCGCAACGAGGGAGGGTGATTTCTTCAGGTAAAAAAAGTTGCAGGAAAACGGCGGATTTTATTGTCGATGTTGTTGGAGATGGCTCCGGCGAGTCGGATTCGTCGTCGGTGAAAAAGAAAAAAGAGACTGGATTTACAAAAAGAACAAAAAAATAGTATTAGTTTAAGTTATATTAATAATTAATTAAGTCTAAAATAATGATATAATTTTCAATTAAAAGTTGTCACTTGTATAAATTAATCAGTTTTAAACTTTAATTTTGCCTCTCACATGCTTTCAAGAGAGTGTGTATAATACACTTTATAATAGTTTAGGGGGGTAATAAAAACCCGCAAAGGTAAAGTGTGTAGTTGGGAATCCGGGTATAGGACAGGGGGTACTTATGCATTTTCCCAAAATAAAACTAAGAAAACCAAAATCTACTAATAGATGAAGTAGGCAAAAAGTTACTCAATATTCAGCACTACGCTTTTCACAAGATGTAGAAGGTTCTTTCTTTTTTTAGATAAATAAGGAGGCATGTTGTACTTAAGCAATGATGTCCACATCTACAATGGTAAGGCAGAAGAGAAAGATGAAAAAAGGAAGTGGTACTGGATGTCCAATAGATTGTTAATGGGGAAACCAGGAAAATACCCCCAAAAAAAGAGAGAGAGAGAGGAAAAGATTAAGAGAGAAAGCTACTTGTTTTTTGTAGACAATCACAAGGACAGGAATTGCAAACGATCAAGACATCAAAATTTTATACAAAATTAACAATGACATAGTTCCCAATTGCAAAAGATTGATAATTTTTTTTTCCTTTCTAAAAATTAAATACCACATCATCTAAGCAGTGGAATTACTACAACGTTTTATTCTAAGCTTGAAATATGCCTATCAAAACATGCAAAAAGGGATACCAACTAAACAACTCCTGACAGAGATTTTTTGCACTGCAAATATCTCACTAACAAAAAGTAGATGTGCAAACTCTTGGTGATCATGATTCAAAAATTGATTTTCCAATCATATCTCTTCTTTCCGTATTCCTTTTCAACAGCTAACAGCAATTCTCACATTCCTCATACAGCAAAATCTCATACTTACAAACTTCAATTATCAGAGATGTCTCCCAAGAAATAGCAGATTATCAGCCTAGATTCAACATTTACAGACTATTACTTCACAAATATTACAGGATCAAGCAATTTAAGTTTTGACCAATAGCCATCACAGTAATGGCGCAACTTACCAGAACAATAAGACTACTAAAGGGTAAGCGGAGAGTTGAACTCCGAACACCAACCAAAGTAGATAATTCCTGCCCCCTCTCAAATTCATTCACAACCTCCGCCACCAAAGTTCCCAAATTTAACATACAGAATATACGCAGTACTAAAAAATTCGGATACACACCAAAGTTCAATAACATTAAAACAATATACAACGTGGACGTTCCAAATCTCTAGTCATTTAACATATTTCTGTCACTAAGGAAACGTCTTGATCTCAGAATTTAAACATCAATATAACCGTTGGAAGACATAATACGAGCAAAATTTTCAACTAGGAAAAAGGAGCTTACTCGATGAAACAGAGAGATCCAAGAGGTAAATGTGAGCTTCGCCAAGCACAAATTCCAATCAAATATGCTCCAGAAGCAAGCAATTCAACTCAGGAATTAGGGTTTTAGCAATTGACCACAAGGCTTCGGCTTCGAATAAATAATTTGTTTCTGATACGCTCGTTCTTGAACTGAAATAAACCCTAATTCCTCTTTGGGCATAAAATAGTTGAATAACGATTGGCTCAGGAAAGAAGAAAACGGACTTCTCGCTTTTGCTTCTATGATGATACTGTCAACCTTATTATATTATTATTGTAATAGTAATATTTTATTCTTAGATACTTTTCCTATATTTCTAATTTGACGTTAACTGCCCCTGATCTGGACTATGTTAGAGGGAGCTTTCCGTCATTTCAGAGTACCATTGATGACGACGACTGACAGTTCTCCATGAAAGGAGGAAATAGAGGGCAGAAAATCTGATTTTCTTAAACAAAAACAGATAATAAATCGAATTGATAAAATTATGTTGAGTTGAGAATTTGAAAGATTTTATCTTTATTGGATTTGTTCCACGCAAATTTGGATCAACCGAGCCCGTGAATATCGTTAAAAAAATTGTGCAAATTTGGTTCTATAAAAAAAGAAACATTGTAACCTAAATATGATAGGTGTGAGATTAGCTGCTGCAAGTCCAATATTCAGCCATTATAGAATGTTTTGTGGATTATGTGTGATATTGTCTATCTTGTTTGAAGATTCTTATGACGCATTCATATTTATGGTGGATCTGCTACAAACTAAGTAGATCAGTGACCACACTTAACAGCTTGTTTGGATTGTTGTAATATAACGTTTCATAATGTATCGTATGGTATTGTATGATCAGTATAATGTCTCTATAGATTGTATTATTTGCCGTCGTTTCATGATATCATGCACCAAAAATATGAAGAATAAACTTGCAATATTACTATGAAAAAATAGAATATGGAGTAAGGGTGTCTAACGGGCCGGGTTGACCCGGAACCGGACCGGCCAAGGCCGGTTAAAACGGACCGGACCGGCCCGGTACATAGGGGGCCGGGTGGGCTGGGTAGAGGGGGTTGGTCCGTTTACTTTTTTTAAACGGTTAACCGGACCGGTTAAACCCGGTCCACGTGAACAGTAACTCTTACCGGTTTAACCGGCCCGGACCAGCCCGATACAACGGCTATAATTTTTTTTATTTTTTTTATTTTTCGAACTATGTGGGGCCCACTGACCGTTGGCAATGGTCAGACCTGGAATTGATCCATTAGCCAACGGGAGAATTGCATAAATAGCCTTTTTTTAAAAAAAATTTAACCCTTTTTCAATTTACAAAATTAACCTTCTCAAAAACTATAAATACCCCCCCCCCCCTCTTCTTCATTTCTTCACTCAACTCTCATTTCTCAATCTCAATTTCTCTCATTCTCTTATTCTCCAATTTTCAAGACTTCAAGTCTTCAATTCATCTTCTAATTTTATTTGGCTCTCTTTTCTTGAATTTAATTTATCGTGTTTTATCATTCGGATTTTGAAGTTTGAACAATTGAACTTCAAAATTGAAATACTTGCTTGACGTTTGTTCGTGGTAACATCGGAATTGCGTAATCAAGTGCTCAATTTACTGTTGAATTCGGTGCACTCCCTCCAACTCTTTCTCTTATTTACTATTTTAATTGCATATTTAATTTTAGCTTATACTTTAATTTTTACAATATGTTGAATGCTGCTAAAAGAGCGTGTAGAAAAGTTACTGGTAGGGGAAATAAAAAAAGAGGTAGTGCTTCAGCATCTGGTAGTAATAGTAATACCCCATTTATACATGTTTCCAAAACATCGCCTAATGATAATATAGATTATGAACAATTACAAGAAGATTTTGGAATAGAAGATAATGAATTAGGAATGGAAGATGAGATACCAGCTACACCTACTAGTGCTGGGGCTGGTAGTGTTGGAGTTGCTACAAGGGGTGGTGGTCGTGGCACTAGTAGTAGACCACCTGTGGCTGCGACTACTAATCGTAGAAAAAGAAGTAAGGTTTGGAATTTTTTTGAAATAATTCAAGGTACTGACAGAGTTAGATGCAAACTTTGTAAAGATGATTTTAAACATTTGACTGGAGGAAATTTAGGGGGGATTGGGACGCTTAGTAGACATATGAGAATTGCACATCCCATAGAATGGGGTTCTGATGGTGATGAAAATCAAACAACTATTAACCCTACTACTGGAGGACTTTTGAAATATGATAAAATGAAGGATCGTGAGGAGTTAGCAAAAATGATTGCTTTAGGTTGTCTACCTTTTTCTTTTGCTTCTTCACCATATCTTATTATGTATATTCAAAGGATTTACAATCCTTTATTTAAAGGTATCCCTAGAAGTACTTGTAGAGCTGATATCTTTAGACTTCATGGACAATATCAAACATACATACGTTATTTGTTTAGCCACCTTCCTTGTAGAGTTTCTCTAACTTCTGATATTGGCCATGCTGTTAATGAAAATGATTATTTGACAATTACATGTCATTGGACAGATGATACTACTTGTATACAAAAACGTATTATCGCTTTTAGATATGATGACGATCAGAGTCATACTGCTGCGTTCATAAGTAGTAATATTTGTAAAGTTGTTGAATTTTATAATCTCAAGCAAAAAGTATTGTGTATGTCTTTTGATAATGCTTCTAACAATAATGCCGCAATTTCAATATTAAAACTGCATTTGCAACCACCTCTTGATGAAATTTTTCGTGTTAGGTGTGCATGTCATGTTTATAATTTAATTATTAAAAGTGGCCTTGATTTATTTTCAACTGAGATTACTCATGTTAGAAGAGCAGTTGGTGTTATTCAAGGAAATAATAGACAATCTAGAATAAAGGAATTTAAGAATAAGTGTGTCCAGTATAACCTTAAACCCAGATTCATGCCAGACGAAATTGTTACTAGATGGAATTATATATATATGTATATTTTTAAAATGTTGCTACAAATATAGATTCCCAATAACTGAAGTTGCTAATGTGCATTGTACTGATCCAAACCGTATGTTAACAACTAGTACTTGGGAGGTCATTAATGATGTTGTTAAATTTTTACATAAATTTTATACAGCTACTGTTGAGTTTTCTGGAGCATATTACCCTACTGTTACTATGGCTTTAGTACATATAACTGAAATTTCTTTTCTACTCTTTGAATTTAAGAAGAAAGAACAATATAAGGATGTTGTGGAAAAAATGCAAGCAAAATTCAAAAAATATTTCTTTCCAATTCCTCCGATTTACTTAATTGGTGCTGTTTTAAATCCTTCTATTAAGATGTCTGATTGTCACCAATTAATGAATGCTTTATATACTTATATGGAGATTGGACCAACTGAAACCCCAGATTTATATGTTTCTATGAACAAGCTAAATGATTATTTACAACAATTATATAATTATTATGCAAATATAATTGATGATGTTGCTCGTACTGTAAGCAATGTTAATCCCACTATGCACTGTAGCACTTCTGCTACTGTGGATGATGAAGAAGGCCTTGATAGTTTTAATATTTTTTCTACATTTTCTAACACTCAAACCAGTAGCAGGAACATTGATGAACTTCAATTCTACTTGCAGAAGCAAAAAGAGCCTCGCACAAAGGAATTTTCACCGTTGGGATGGTGGCATGAGAATGGAAAGCAATTTCCTATTCTTTTCGCTATGGCTCGGGACGTGCTGAATGTGCCAATTTCTACTGTTGCATCGGAGAGTGCATTTAGCCAAGCAAGACAACAACTTGGAGACACCTGTCACTCATTGGGAAGCAATGCTTTGGAAGTTTTAGTATGTTTCAGAGATTGGATTAGATCGGAACGAAGAAATCAAGGACGTGAAGATGTTGATAGCCCAGAAGACGAGGAACTTGGAGATATATTAACACATGGTAACCCATCCGAATTTAACACTCCAGAAGAAGGTCACTCAGTTCATATTGATTATGAAGAACTTACTAAGGCAATGCAAAACCTTTGAATTTACTCTTTTTTGGTTAATTTACTTGTTGTTAAATGTAAACCTTTCAATTTGTAAGTTTGAATTTTGAAATAAATGTAGCACTTGCAATTTATAAGTGCAATTTTTCCCCATCTTCCTTGTATTCTTTATGTTAATACTTTGTATTAATATAACTTACAATAGTTATACAAAATACAAAAAAAAAAAATACACTAAACCCGGCCCGGCCCGGCCCCCTCAACCCGTAACTCTTACGGTTCAATTTTTACCCGGATGAACCTGAACCCGTTAAACCCGTTAAGCCCCAATCCGTAACCGGCCCGGACCGTAACCCGTACGGGTCCAAAAAATAGCAACCCGGCCCGGCCCGGCCCACACGTTTAACACCTATAATATGGAGCAGAATACATTAAAAGTAGAGTAAAGGATAAAATATAATTATTTAATAATAAGAAAGGGCAAGATGGGAGAAAAAGGTAAGGTAATGACGCCACCATACCAAATCCGTCATTCCACAAAGTAGCACTTTTCTTCATTACGTAACGATGAATTTAACGATACGATACAATAAAATTTAAGTAACAATCAAAACAAGCATTGTATTTAAAGTAACAAACGATACAATAAAATAGGCCACAACCATCCAAACAAGCTGTAAAGGGGAAAATTTATATGATATTATGAATATGGTTTGATTTTTTACCTCTAAATTTTCGGGGTCCTCTGTTTCATTCTAATCTCGGATTTGTCATGTTAATTAGCTATTCCTTTACTGCGTTATTGCTTTTCTACTTAAATCCGTACAGGTTTATAGTGAGTGTCTTGTCATAGCCTCGTCACTACTTCATCGAGGTTAGGCTCGGCACTTACGGAGTACATGAGATCGGTTATACTCATGCAACAGTTCTATACTTTTTGTGCAGATCCTCGTGTTGGTCCCAGCGACGCTTAGTAGAGATTGCTCGAATCCGTTCTTACTAGGAGACTTAAGGTAGAGCTGCACAGCATTCGCAGAACCTGAAGTCTCCTTCCTACCTTATTGTTGTTTACTTTATTTCAGACAGCTGTATTTTATTTCAGACTCTGCTTATAATATTCTAGCAGCTCGTGTACTTGTGACACCAGTTTCTGGGATTAGACTAGACAGTATTGTTTATAAAATTTATTATATATTTCAAAGTATTTCGGTCTTATTCTCTCAATATTTTGCTCTTAAATTGTTAATTGCTTAATGGTTTAGCTAATGTTGGCTTGCATAACAAGCGGATGTTAGGCGCCATCAAGCCCCCGTGATTGAGATTTTGGGTCGTGACAAGTTGGTATTAGAGCATTAGGTTGCCTAGGCCTCACTTTATTTCTTTCTCTATCAGAATTTGAATCATTCTTATCTTATTCTCTCACATGTGGTGAGGGCACGTATGACATTTGCAGCTAATCAGAAGCCGGAGCCTCAGGTTGTAGCCACTACCAGGGGTAGTGGTCGGGCCCGAGGTAGAGCTAGATAAAGAGGCAAAGCTCAGCCTAGAGCACGCGCAACAACACCTGTT